CCAGGTTCGATTCTGATCAAGGGCATGTACCTTGGTTGCGGGCACATCCCCAGTAGAGGGTGTGCAAGAGGCAGCTGATCAATGACTTTCTCTCATCGATGTTTCTAACTCTCTCTCTCTCTCTCTTCCTCCTTGTAAAAAATCAATAAAAATTTAAATAAATAAAAAAGTACAAGGTGAAACAGCAAGTGCTGAGGTAGAAGCTGCTACAAGTTATTCAGAAGATCTTGCTAAGATAATTAATGAAGTAGACTACAGCAAAATACATATTTTTAATGTAGATGAAAGTCTTGTGTTAGAAGTAGATGCTGATTTTCATAGCTAGAGAGAAGTCAATGCCTGGCTTTAGAACTTCCAAGGACAGAACAGCTTTCTTGTTATGGGCTAATGCAGCTGGTGGCATCAGCCAGTGCTCATTTATCACTCCAAAATTCCCAGGGCCTTTTAAGAATTATGCTAAATCTATTCTGCCTGTACTCCATAAATGGAACAATAAAGGCTGATGACAGCACATCTGTTTAAAACGATTTACTGAATATTTTAAGACCACTGTTAAGATCTTAGTTTAATTTTTTTTGTAAACTTTTTTCTCATATAAATTAGGCAGAGGAGATGAGAGGACCACTTAGTATTACACATTAGCAGCACAAACATGACATGGCTGATTTTCTGTTGATAGTCCCAAACTAAATCATAATATTAGTACACTTATATTTTTTTTTTTTTTAGTAAAAGTATATTGTTAAGGAATTAACATTTTCATTTCAGTTTTTAGAATATCAAAATCTTTTCTGAGCACCCAATGGCTAGGTTGTGAATCCTGGCCACTTTTAATCCACTAAAGACTAGTGGGAATGTATCAGCCTGAAGAGCAAGTACTCTTTGTTTTCTAAACCAGAGTGCCATATCTGTCATCCTGCAGTACAGCCAATACTGTTGTAAACAGAACTTAAAGTGGTATTAAAAAACCTCCTGTTATGCAAATTTAACTCTTTGTATATCTTACTATAGATTATGTACAAGCAACATTTAAAGAAAATTATACTTTTAATTCTAAAAAAAAAAAAAAAAAAAGACATAGGGTATCTGAATGAATAAGAAAACACAACAACCCCAAATCTATGGGACACAGTGAAAACAATCCTAAGAGGGAAACTCATATATATGTTGTCTACAATTGACCCACCTCAAAACAGAAGACACATACAGACTGAAAGCAAAGAGACGGAAAAATATATTTTATGCAAGCAGAAATGAAAAACATCTGGAGTAGCAATATTTCTATCACATAAAATTGACTAGAACAAACGCTATAATAAGAGACAATGAAGGACATTACATAATTATAAAGGGATTAATTTAAAAAGAGGATATACAATGGGGGATGGGGAGGGGGCAGAGGGTGGGGTGGGAACAGGGTGGAGGGGGGAAGAAATGAGGAACCTTTGTAATAATATGAACAATAAAGATTGATTTAAAAAATTAAAAATAAATAAATAAATAAATAAAAAGAGGATATAATCCTTAAAAACATTTATGCACCCTATATAGGAGCACCTAAATATATAAAGCAAATCTTGATGGACAGCCGAAACCGGTTTGGCTCAATGGATAGAGCGTCGGCTTGGGGACTGAAGGGTCCTGTCAAGGGCATGTACCTTGGTTGCGGGCACATCCCCAGTGGGGTGTGTGCAGGAGGCAGCTGGTCGATGATTTTCTCTCATCGATGTTTCTAGCTCTCTATCTCTCTCCCTTTCTCTCTGTATAAAATCAATAAAATACATATTTTTAAAAAATCTTTATGGACATAAAGGGAGAGATCAGCAATAATTCAGTCATAGTAGGAGATTTTAATTATCCTTGACATTACAGGATATATCTTCCAGACAGAAAATCAACAAGGAAACAGTGGCCTTAAATGACACATTAGACCAGATGGATTTAATTGATGTTTTTTCAGAGCATTTTACCCCAAAGCAGTAGATATACATTCTTTTCAAGTGGACATGGAATATTTTCTAGGATAGACTACATGTTAGGGCACAAAACAAGTCTCAATAAATTTAATAAGGTTGAAATCATATCAAGCATCTTTTGTGACCACAATGGTATGAAACTAGAAATCAGTTACAAGAAAAAACTGAAAACACACAAAGACATGGAGGCTAAATAACAAAGACATGGAGGCTACAAACAACGAATGAGTTAACAATAAAATCAAGAAAAAAAATCAAAGATACCTTGAGACAAATGAAAATGAAAACACAACAACCCCAAATCTATGGGACACAGTGAAAGCTGTCCCAAGAGGAAAACTCATAACAATACAGCCTTACACGAGGAAACAAGAAAAATATAATATAAACAATTTTACCTTACACATAAAGGCACTAGAAAAAGAACAACAAACAAAACCCAAAGTGAATAGAAATAAGACAATAATGAAGATAAGAGTGAAAATAAATAAAATAGAGCCTAAAATTATGTACAAAAGATCAATGAACCGAGAGCTGGTTCTTTCAAAATGTGAAAAGGATTGATAAACCTAAGCCAGACTTATTGAGAGAGAGAGAGAGAGAGAGAGAGAGAGAGAGAGAGAAGATCCAAATAAATAAAATCAAAAATGAAAGAGAATAACTGACAGTACAAAAATACGAAAGATTATGAAAAAATATTATGAACAACTATATGTCAATAAATTGGATAATCTGAAAGAAATGAATAAACTCCTAGAAATACACAATCTTTCCAAACTGAACCAAGAAGAAACAGAAAATCTGAACAGAACAATTATAACCAACAAAATTAAAACAATAATAATAATAAGCTCCCAACAAGCAAAAGTCTGGACCAGATGGCTTCATGGGTGAATTTTACCAAACACTCATAAGGATTACCACCTACCCTTCTCAAACTATTGGGCTCCAGTTTGTAATGAGCTTCTTTTCACATCCCATGTGGCTCAGGGTTCAGGTTCAGGGTTTGGGCTGTGGAGGAGGCCGCACACAAATGAAAGATGGGAGCCCAACTCAAGGGGAAGGACTTCACCCCCACTCAGGCCTTTCTATCTCTTTTATTAAGACTATGGGATACACCCGTAGCCTTTAGGCAGGCAATTCCAATCATAGCCAATCAGCAAGAATTTGGGGAAACTGGAAACTACCCTGTTTCCCCGAAAATAAGACAGTGTCTTATATTAATTTTTGCTCCCAAAGATGTGCTAGGTCTTATTTTCAGGGGATGTCTTATTTTTCCATGAAGAAGAATATAGTATACATTTATTGTTAAATGAAAATAAAGGAAATTTATTACTGTATATGGTATGGTAGTACGGTAGTTGTCAACACAAACCAGACAAACTATGAATCCTACAGTATCAAGAATTTACTCATTTATTCAATGACAATCATGTCATCATCTTCTGAAACATCATCATAACAATCCAATTCCTGAATTTCCTGGTGAATTTCTTGTGACTCCATTTCTTTCAGAATCAGTGGACCAAATCTCATGTTTAGCCTAGGGAGCCCTTATTTTCGGGGGATGCCTTATATTTCACTCAGAAGGAAACCTGTAAGTAGGTCTTATTTTCGGAGGATGTCTTATTTTCGGGGAAACACGGTAGAAGGTGGAAGTTGCTTCAGCTATCTTTGTCTCAACTAGACAGTGGGTGGTTGGCTCTGACCTTTCAGAGCTTCAAGGTTGACCAGCCTTCCAGGTTCCTCGTCCACACTGTCTGCTAGTGAGGACAATGGGCGGCTTCCAACAAGGGCCCACACCTATCTTCTGTAGGCATTATTGCTTCTCTCTTCAAAATGAATGTCTGAATTTTTATAATGAGTAAGTTTAAAGAAAAATGTTAAGTAAAAAATAGTGTAGACAGGATATGGACAAGCCAAAATCATATGAAATTCCTAGTGCATGACTGAAGGTTAGGAAATTCGGATACGGTTTGTACGGTCCCTTTTTACTCCAGCTGATTCAGTATTAGATGCTAATTTGAAGCTCAAATAACAATGTTGACCATTGTTGTTGTTTTACTTGTTGTTGTTTAAGGTATTACATATATCTCCTCCCCTCCCTCCCTCATTAACCCCTCCCCGTCCACTCCCACCCCACATTGGTCATTGTTTTGGCATATTTGTATTTCTCTTCGGATTTGATATTGCAGCTCTATTTAACCTTATATTATTTCATAGTATGTATTTCAGGGCGGTGGGCAGCGACACGCTGAAATCCGCTCTGACTCTGGCAGATCTCAGTCACCTCTCCGTCACACCCTCTGGACTAACCCCTGCTGACCCTCTCAAACAGATAGATGCCCTCTCCTCCCTCACGCTAACGTCCTCCTCTTCTGCAGGGGTGGGAAGTGTCCGCACCTGGAGCTACAGAGGCCCCTGAAACCATTTGGTTTGGCCCTGCTAAGGGCGAGTTAATGAAATGTTTGAGCCAAATATAGTAGGCTCATTTTCAAGTTGATAATTTCGCATGGGCCTGCCAAATGGCCGTTGGCAGAAGAAACACTCCCCCATTCCTGCTTCTGGGGATATGATGCATCAACAGAAGAACTACAATGGACACCAAACGTATTTGATGAAAATGTACAAGTGAATGACCACACCTGTTCTCTCACTGTTTTTTTGGGGGTGGGGTTTGGGGTGGTGAAATATTAACTAAACCAATTATTAAAAAGGAAGAGGTCATCAGTGCAAAGACTCAGAGACACACCTTGTCACCCCAGAATGGACTCTTATTGGACGCTGCTCACTGCAGGCTGCAATTGTTTCAAAGTCCAGAAAAAAGAGACTCAATTCTGGGGGAAACCTAGGACTTAGAAAGGTGGGTTTTGAAAGACACAGGGAGTATCAGGCGGAACAGGGACTTCTCTTGGAAAGTTACAAAAAGTAACTCAGTAACTTAAGACCTGTTACATTTTTATTTTATACCCCACCTAGATCCATGGTTCTCACTGGTTACTTCAGAGGAAAGTCTGCACTGTCATGGGTTCATTCATGGGGCAACGCAAGATTCTGATCGTGGTGTTGGTCTTTCTGGCTTGGGTGAGTATTCCCTTTGCTCCACTGCCTCTTGCCCCGGGGTTCATTTGTTCTCTCCTTGTGCAACCTCAAGGTTGAATTGATCGCTGCCTGAAGCCCGGGAGAGGGGACCCAGGGAGCTCTCCGTTTCCTTCCCTCTGCCCCAGGGTGACTCCAGCGGCAGCAATTGGAAGGTGAAACCTCACCCTTAGGAGAAGGGCGAGCAGTTGGGTGTTGGGGTCTGTTAAGGAGTTAGAAATGCAAACCCAGAAGAGGTTGCTCCAGGGAAGTCCCCATGGAGGGGAAGGGGAGCAACTCACATTGTTCTTAGCTCTCTAACCCTTTCTGTCACCGTGTATGAGAAAGAGGTAGAAGGCTGTGGTGTCCAGCCCTATGTTTTAAGCACAGAAAATCAGGGATTCAAGAAGAAGAAGAAAAAAAAAAAAATCCCTGTCCAAAAGGAAAGGGCATTTGGCTGGAGTAACCTCTGCGGTGTTTTGGAGAAACTTGGCTGTGACAAGAAGCTAGGAATACCTGTAAGAGAAGGCATTTCCCTGTTTGTCCATAGATCGTAACTGGAGTTTGGGGGCTTAATGTAGCTATAGATGCATTTTGTTTGGCCTGTTGCAACTCATGCTTAAAACAATTGGTTATTGAATGAGTTATTGATATTTAAACAGTATGAGATTTCACATGAAAATATGAATTTCTTCTGGTTTCTCTCAAAAGTGGTTCAACCTCAGGACAGCAAGTTCACATATTGGTCTTTATTCTAAAAATATGGAGGGGGTTGGGCATGGAGACCCTAATTTCTTACTGTTGACAAAAGACCTGTAGAGAATTTTTCTGAATTTATTTGAGCCAAACTGACAGTTGCCAGGAAGCAAAATCTCAGTGGATTGAGAAAAGGCTCCAGAGAATGGCCATTTTATAGCTTACTTTATACCTTAGAATCAAAGGAGGAGATGTTACATGAAAGGGGGGTAGGATTTACATGAAATTCATTTGTGGAAAATTAGGGAGGTGGAGGAAATCAATGCAGGGAAATCTCTGAATTTGAATTCAGAATAAAACAGAGCTCAACTGGCATAGCTCAGTGGTTGAGCATCATCCTATGAACCAGAAGGTCACAGTTCAATTCTTGGTCAGGGCATATGCCCAGGTTGCGGGCTCCACCCCCAGAAGCAGTTGTGCGGGACTCAACCAATTAATGATTCTCTCTCATTGATGTTTTTCTCTCTCTCTCCCTCCCCCTCCTTCTGTGAAATCAATAAAAAATATTTTTTAAAAGAATAAAATGGAGAGACATATACTTCTTTTAAATTGGTGGGTACAGGATGGTTACCTGTGGCGGGCTGGCATGGCCATGGCACACGCAGCCCCAGCGCGCCTTATGTACGGCGCCAGCTCAGCCAGGCTCAGTGCCCCTGAGAGGGGGCGGCTTGAAAGACTTAGAAAAGACAGACAAGATAATGAAAGCTGGGTCTCGGTGGGACGCTGCTCCCTCATGGAGAAACAGCGCCATGGACTACGTACAAGCCGGATCTTGATAGCAAATGCCAGGAGACATAGTAAGGGCGTGGTCAAGATGTTGATAACATTCTCGTGGATTTCAGCCCTACGCAATTACATGCCCCTGATCAAGCTTTGTTTCCTTGCAGCCTATATCACTTAGGCACGTGGGGCCACATGTTTGGACCACCTAGGTTCAAGCTTACAACTACAGCTGTTGGCTATAATTGTGCTAGATGGCTCCGCCCTGCAAGCTGGGACTTGCATGCGGCGCCCTCTCCTCAGTCCAAGTCTTGAGCCTCTCTAAACACTGTGCCATGTTAACAATTAACACTTACAGCATGTAGACGTGGCATTCGGAGAACAAGGTAGCTGGGCGGGAGCTGAGGCACTTTTTTATACAGGTGTTCAGTGAGGACGGAGGAAGTGAGCTCAGGGCCGGTGGAATTTCAGCCTCGGGCAGGGATTCCAGGAATGGAGCCAATATCTGCGCCACCATCTGCCTGGAGCACAGGTCCGTCACAGGTTCCAGGAAGGGACCAGCGTTTGTGTCACCATGTGACTGGTGAACTAGTCTGTTATCTGGGTCACCATCGGTTGCATGCATCAGCTTCTGGAATTCCTCTGACCTAACATTTCTATCACTCTCTTCCTTTCTCTGAAATTAATAAAAACACACACAAATATTTTAAAACAACTAAACAACAGTGAGAGATTCTGTGGCCTCAGTGGTATGAGGTTGTACTCTGAGAGTCTGGAAAAAGGGGGTTGCTTACAAATTCAAAGGGTATGTTATTTTAAAATTTTCCCCCCGTTAATCCTCACCGAAGGATATATTTCCATTGGTTTTATTTTTATTGTTTATTTATTTATTTTACGAATCAAACTTTTTCTTTTTTCTTTTTGTTTAAATTTCTTTATTAATTAAGGTATCACATATTTGTCCTCATCCACCCATTCCCATCCCACACCCCTCCCCACGCATGCCCCCCCCCCCCCATTGTCCTTGACCACTGGTTAGGCTCATATGTATGCTCACAAGTCCTTGGTTGATCTCTCCCCTTTATTCCCAGCCTCCCCTACCTTCCCTCTGAGGTCCGACAGTCTGATCTAGGCCTCCTTGTCTCCGGGTCTGTTTTTGTTCATCAGTCTATGTCGTTCATCATTTCCCCTAGATTAGTGAGCAAAACTTCTGTTATGAGGAACTGGCTGTACAATATCTAAAAAGAAAGTTAAGGTGAGGAAAGCAGATGACTGCCTCCTTCCACCGTGTGTGTGTGTGTGTGTGTGTGTGTGTGTGTGTGTGTGTGTGTGGAGAGAGAGAGAATCTTGGGAAGAGAAGATTGGCAGTTGTGTGACAGCATCAATTGCTTTGAGCAGAGTGTGGTGGGGTAGTAACATTCAGATCTGATTTTCCTCCTAGCTACTGCATCTTAATGACTTCTGGTCATTGAGTATTTTTCCACTCCTGAGTCCAAGTCCTTACATCGTCTCATTCTCTGGTTACTTTCAGTTTGTAAGGCTCACCATGCAGGCCTCCCCGATCTGGTCAGGGTTAGTAAGTGGCCCCTTTTCGTCCACATTAAAAATCAGATCCAAAGGAAGTGTGGATTTCATTTCCATAGTACACGTTCACTGTGAGAGGGTGAGACATCTTGGTGCAGCAGCCAAAACCTCCCACTTTTTAAAAGAAGTTGAATTATAACATACATGAAAATATATAAGTCATAGTGCTCAGTTACATAAAAAATAACACAACTGTGTAATCATCACAAGTCAAGAAATAAAAATTACCAGTATCCCAGAAGCTTCCGTTTTTGCCTTCTCTATCATTATCATCCTCTCTTCTTTCCAACTATAAACGTTATAGTTTATTTTTACCTGATTTTGCATTTTATAGAAATGCAATCGTATACCACGTATTCTTTTATGTGTGCCTCCTTTCATCCTAAAGGCAGGAGAGTAAGAAGCTAGGAAACTTCCTTGGCAAGTAGAAGGGGGAAAGTGAAACAGATTGCTATTTCAAACTGGCCTCATCCAGCACCCTGCCTCACCTGCTGCCTTCTCCCTGGCATGACCACCCCCTTCAGCATTAAGTCCAAGAGTGGAAAAATACTCATGGTCCTGACGAGCATCAGATAATCTTAGGAACAAAGCCTCTGGTCTGTTGACCATCAACACAGAGTTTTGGTCAAACTGGAGATAGCACCCATGCCTCAGTTGTATTTCAGCTCCAAACGCAGAAAAACAGCAAAACCAGAAGCGATGCCATGGCTGACATCAGGGCCAGATGCAATGACTAATGGCCTCCTATCATAGTGCAGACCCATCAGTAGAAGCCACCAATCCTGAAAGGACACCGCTAAAAGCTGATGAATATTCTTGGTCAGGGCATTATGATCTTTTCCCCGAGTCCTCCCCTAAAATCCCTGTCTTTAGGACACATAAAAATCCTTAAGGCAAGGGACCAGTGCACTTACACTCTATCTTTCTCTGATGGTACCTTCCTCCTGTCCCCTTATTTCCTCAAGGCATGTGCCAGTATCTTCACTTTCTACCTCCTAAGCTCCAGTAGCCCTTTGGCTTCTGTACCTTGTCTCCTGAGTCCATGCAGCCCACTTCTTCCACCTCTGGGACTTTCTAAATAAACTTCTTGCACTAGAGTTCTTGGCTCTGAATTCTTTCGTTGCCGAACTTAAGAACTGAGATCAAATGCCACCACTGTTTTTGTGAAAGTCATCCATGTTGTAGAGTAAAACCATTATTTGTTAATTTTATGTTAGTACTCTAGTGTATGAATATATAACGATTTATCCATTCACTATTGATGGCCATTTGGACTGTATTTAATTTTGAATTATTTTAAATATTGCCTGGTGCACATATGCATGTCTTTCTGTTGAGTATATACCAACCAGCTAAACTGCTTGGTCCTAAGATATGCAAACATTAACCTTTCTTACACACTGACAGTGTTGCAAAGTGGTTTTGACAATTTATGTTCTTGCCAGCACATATGAGGATTGCTTCACATCTTCATAACATTGGTATAGTCTTTTAGCTGTAACCTTTCTTTGAATATCTAAAGAAAGATATTTGTAGTTTTAGTATGCAATCCTTTTCTTACTAATTTAGCTAAATACCTATTCATATATTTATTGGTCATTGCATTTCCTCTATAGTGAAATGCTGTTAAAGTATGTTCTATCCATTTTAATTAGGTTGTTTGCCTTTTCGTATCAATCTATAGGAATTCTTGAGAGATTCTGGATACAAGCTCCTTCATTTGTTGTAAATGGTACAAATATCTTCTCCAGTTCTGTGTCATGCCTGCTTTTCATTCCAATAGTGTCTTTTGAGTAAAATAAATATTTTTAATTGTATTTAATTATTATAAGATTTATTATCTCTTAACATGAGATCTGCCTGCTTAATGATTTTTAAAGTATACAACACAGTATATGTATGTATATAAAACCAACCAGATACAATTAAAAAAAAATGTACAAGAAGCCATTCTGACTTGTGATCTGCCAATTTAGCGCTGTGCTGATGTTCTCCCAGCCCAGGATGAGGGTCTGTAAACAGGCCCCATCAGGACCAGACACCTTACCAGGTAATACTTTCCTCCAAGACCTGTGAGGGCTAAGCATCCCAAGAAACCACATAATACTGGATCTGGGCCCAGATTCTATGATGTTGAATCCTGCTTCTCTCCAGCCCGGAGGGGAGCCAATCTTGTGAGTGTTTTCTCCTCCAGCAATCAAAACAGAGATTTCAGCCTCAGATACGCCCTCCATGTGCTGCCATGGACTTTGAGATGTGTCACTGGGTTGCTTCTTTTCTGAATCACACTGCTTGAATAGAAGGGACTATTGGTAGGCATAAATAAGTATCTGATAGGTCAGGCACATAGGCTCACTCTTCTATGCAAAATAAGGCCTCCCTCTGCTGTTCTTCCTGGTCTGTATTTGTGACTTTGTGTTTCTGAAATGTGATACAGAGAGCTCTGAGCCCCTGGAGGAGAGTCTCTGTCGTAGCAAACACCATGTCTTCCTAGAAAAGAACCTGCCATAGATCAGCTCTTGTTCCAGCCATCACCTCTGTCTCTGAATTTCTACAGCTTCTTCCTTTTCCAATAGTTTCTGTGGTCCAATTGCTTCTTTTGTCCCTTGAGCCCAATTAGAGAGGGAGCTCCCTAAGAGACAGTCTAACCTCCTGCTTGTTTAACCCTCAACAGCATCGAGTAAATGGACTTGCCCACCTCCAATTATCTCTTGGAAATCTAGTTTGGAGATGGAGGGGGAGGGGAGGGGTGAGAGGAAATAGGGAGAAAAAAGAGGACACTTAACCAGAATGCCAGGCTCTGCGAGGTAAGAGATATGACAATTAGATGTAGGCCTGCACGAACCTCTGTGCATGTTGCATGGGGATGAGAGTGGTAGTGGAGGGAATAAGGCTGAGATAAGGAATACCGTTGAGATCCATAGACATAACTTCATCTTCACAGGAGGTGCTCTTTTTAAGTGTCTTGACAATGACTCAGACACTAGGCTAGTGAATGACAGATAGCTTGGTGCAGGCAGGCTGGGACCCCTGGCAGAGGGGACTGGTTTTGGTGAGTGGAAATCTCCTTCCTAAAAGAAGGTGAAGAAAACATAAACCATTGATAGATTCTCTTTCCTCTACCCACAGATCTTCTACTTCAAGTTGCCCTGGCCTGACAGCACCACCCCTCGTCCCCCAGCACCTTGCTGTGCCTCGAAATCTACCCCCAAGCCCACAGAATCGCCCTCCGTCTTGGAGTCTGTCTCCCAGGAGTTTGGCAACCTGACCCACCTTTTGTACTGGCCTTCAAGCCCAGAAGAAGAAAAGGACCTATTGGCCTCCACCAGCCCCAAGAACTCCACCTACCGCCTGAGGGGTCCTGCGCAGGCCAGCTATGTCCTGGGGGGCTACCTGGAGGCCATCCTTGTTGCCAGAGACCATCGGGGCAGGCCCAAGACCCATGGCGGGGATCTGTTTCGAGCACAGCTACTGGGTCCCGACTTGAAGGCAGGGGTCCCGGGGGACGTCCAGGACCTGGAGAATGGCACATACCTGCTGTCCTTCCCCCTTCTTTGGGCTGGGCAGGCCCGGGTGCAAGTGCGGCTGATCCACTCCAGTGAGGCCGTTGGGGTTCTGCGAAGAATCTGGAGGGAGAAAAGAGCCACTGTCGATTTTAGAGGGTATTTCCGCGGCCCCACGGGGAATGAAGAGACTGTGATTTGCAATGTCGACCCTCTGTCCGTTGGAACAAGAGGGCCCACCTGCCAGTACAGAAATGTGGATTCGGGTGAACTCTGGTTCTGTGCTCAGCCCTCTACCCTGCCCTGCAACTCTTTAGTTGGGCACTCAAGTGGGAGTTACCTGAATGTGACCACTCTGTATGATGAGGCCCTGCTGGCACGGTAAGAAAACATGAGCAGGGAAGCTTGTACCAACCCTAAGCCACATTCTTCTTTCTAAATATTGTCCCTGTGACACAATGACCCTCCCCAGTTTATCACTCATTTATTTATACTCTCATCCAACAGGTGCTTATTGAGCACCTATTACCTGACAGACATTTCTAAACAGATATGTACTGGTCAGGCTATCCATTTAAGGAAGGTTACAATTGATCTGGGGTTTAAGGAAAAAAAAAAAAATAGGAATTCTCCAGAAAGGTAAGAGATAAGACAGAGCAAATAACCTCAGGGCAAAAGTGCCTCATTTACTTATTCAAATTCCTGCCTGCCCTTAGATTTTCATCTAAAAATAAATAAATACATTAAAATTCCTTGTTTAGTTAGATCTTCAATTATTTAAAAATCTATTTTTCAAAAACATTAAAGATGGGGGGTTTTTTGTTCAAAATTTTTAGTGGTTCTCAGTGAAAGTGTTGGTATGACTACTTGGTTCTGCCATATTATCAGAAAAAGGAATCTTCATTCTATTTCATTTGTTCCTGCTAGTATCTTTGATATTTGTTCTCTTTATTTATTTCATGATGTATTTCTTTTTATATATATATATAGAATTATATTTATTAATATGAAAATATATTCCTATCAAGACACCACTGGCCTGTAATAACCAGCAGAGACAGTATGCCTATTGAAAGTGTAGAGTTTTGCCGGGACCAGTTTGGCTCAATGGATAGAGCGTCGGCTTGGGGACTGAAGGGATCCAGGTTCGATTCCGGTCAAGGGCATGTACCTTGGTTGCGGGCACATCCCCGGTAGGGGGTGTGCAAGAGGCAGCTGATTGATGACTCTCATTGATGTTTCTAACTCTCTATCTCTCTCCCTTCCTCTCTGTACAAAATCAATAAAATATATTTTAAAAAAAATAGTTTGTATTCTCACCCAGCCAGTGTTGCTCAGTGATTGAGCATCGACTTATGACCAGAAGGTTGCAGTTCAATTCCTGGCCAGGGCACGTGTCTAAGTTGTGGGAGGCAGGAGGTGGCCGATCAATGATTCTCTCTCATCATTGATGTTACTATCTCTCTTTCTCCTTTTTCCTTCCTCTCTAAAATCAATACTAATATATTTTTTAAAATAAATAAAATAACTTGTATTCTCTATTTCTTCAGAATGGAATTCTGAACCTATTTGATTTAGATTGTTAACATTTTTATTCCAAACATGTATATCTTCACTAATTTTTCTATCTGCTCAATCTATTAGCTTAGACATAAATGCATCATACTATGTTTGTAGATCTGACTATTTCTCTTTGTGATTCAGGCTGTTTTCAATTTATACTTTTCAAGGTTACGTTGTTAAGTATATTCAGCTTTGTGATTGTCTTATGCTAATGGTAAATTATTAATGTTACTTTCTTGCTTTTTGTCTTAAGTTCTAATTTTGGCACTATGAATATTATAACAACGCTCATTTGTTTAGTGTTTTCATGGTATATATTTTTTTCTTCTCTTTCTATTACAATATTTTGTGTGAAATAATTTTAGGTAGGTCTCTTGACATGAAATGTGGCATTTGTTTAGGCACAGTTAAATAAATCATAAAATAGACTAAATCCATGAAGATAACTGACTTTACCTAAACATAATAGTATTCAAACCAATGGAGAATATGTTGAATAGTAAATAAACATAAAATAATATAATTCTATCTGAACTCTAGAGTATATGCATAAAAATCAATGTTAGGAACATTTAAGATCTAAAGAAAGATCTAATTCAAACCTGGCAAAGCATTAAGATCTTGTAGAACGGGATGTTGGGTACACAAAAAAGTAAATTTTAAAACGGGCATAGGAGGTAGGAAAAGAAGGCAGATGGGTGCTTTAAGAAGTTGTCCTATGAAGGAAAGGAACATGACAGAGTAGCAGCGATAGGAAGAGGTGATGGAAGAGGCAGTTTATTCAATAGAGCAGATGTGATTATGTTTACATTCTAAGAGAAAAAAGGTAGCACAATCTAAAAGATGCAGAAGGAGGTAGCATCAGGATACAGTGTCACGTCTCCTGAGTAGAGAGGGCAGGAAGTGAGGATGGTGCAGAGGTTGGTTGACATATTTCCTGATAAAGAAGTGAATGTTAAGAAAGCCCCTATTGATTAGGACGTGCTTTCCCACCCTCTCCCCTGGGCCTGGGAAGTGAAGGAAGAAAGATGAGGTAAGAAAGATGTCTCTTCCAATCTCAAGTGTCCTATAATGCGAACATGGTGAAAACACACAAAAAGATTGCCCAACAGTATTTCCAGCCTCACTGGAACTGTCGTCCATCAGTTCTAAAGACAGCAGTTCACACATTCAAATATTTATTCTTATTTAATAGCTATTTATTTCATCATTGCCTCCTCAGCAACTCACATTCATATTGTCCGAGTTTTGTTTTGATGAAATTTTTTTAAAAATTTAATCTGCTTTATTGCAGTATAATTTATACACAATGAAATAGCCTTATTTGAAATGTGCAGGTTAATGAGATTTTTTTGTTTTGTTTTGTTTTTAATCCTCAACCAGGGATATTTTTCCATTGATTTTTAGAGAGAGTGGAAGAGAGAGGGAAAGACAGAGAGAAACACATCCATTGGTTACCTCCTGCATAAGCCCTGACCAGGGACCCGAGCCAGAAAGGAGCCTGCAACCTATGCTCTATCCACTGAGCCAAACTGGCTAGGGCCAGGGCAATGAGTTTTAATAAATGTGTACACCCACTAACTGTCAGCACAATCAAGAAATAGAACATTTCCACCACTTCTAAAGACGCCCTGTGTCCCTTTACAGTCAATTTTCCTCATCCACCTCCAGCCCCAGGCAAACACTGATTTGCTTTCTGAAAGTAGGTATTAGTTTTGCCTTTTCTAGAACTGCATAGAAATGGAATCATACAGTTTGTACTCTTGTATCTGCTTCTTTCACTCAGTAACATGTTTTTGCGATTCTTCCATGTTGCTGCATATCAGTAATTTTTTTCCTTTTTATTGACGAATGGTGTTCCATTGTACAGATATACTACAGTTTATTTACCCATTTACCTCTTGAACAGTAGGGTTGTTTCCAGTTTTAGCGATTATGAATCAAACTGCTGTTAATATTGGGGCGTAAGATTTTTGTAGACAAATATTTTTGTTTCTTTTTGACAACATCTGTGTGGAACTTTTTTACTACTAGACTTTATGAATTATAACTGTTTTAGATTTACAAGGAAATAGAGCAGACAGTACAGAAATCCCCCTATCTGTTTTCTCCCATAATTTCTCCTATTATTAACATCTTATATTAGTGTGGTATGTTTGTTGCAGTTCATGAACCAATATCGATACATTATTATTAAGTCTATAGTCTATTTAGGTTTCTTTAGTTTTAACCCAGTGATTTTCAAAGATGAGCTGGAAGAATTTAAACATATAATACCTGACTATTTAGTCAGGGGCACTGACCTTTTTTCCCTTAGACTGTCAAACAAACAAACAAAAACAAACAAAAAATAACAGCCAACATAACAATAGCTGTCGAGTGTGAATGAATTATATCTATTTTTTTTGTCAGATCAGCAAAAAATATGGCTTTTTTCTTTTTTTAGTGTGTCACAGAATTGTAGTAATTAATGTGTGTCTTTCATGAGATAAAAGGAAGCTAAACATTGCTATTTAAAAAAAATTTTTTTTTTTTACTTCAGAGAGGAAGAGAGATAGAAACATCAGCAATGAGAGAGAATCTTTGACCAGCCAACTCCAACACATCCCCTACTGGGGATTGAGCCTGTGATCCACGCATGTGCACCCTTGACTGAAGTTGAACCCAGGACCCTCTAGCTACTGAGCCAAACTGGCCAGGGCAAACATTGCTATTTTAATCGAATGTCCTTTTTTTGTTCCAGAATCCCATCCAGAATACTGCATTACATTTAGTCGTCAAGGCTCTTGGTTGTGACAGGTTCTTATACTTTCCTTATTTTTGATGACTTGGAAGTTTTGAGGAGTATTGGTTAATTGTATTGTAGTATCCCTCTCTATTGAAATTTTCCTGATGTCTTTCTTTTATATATATATATATATATATATATATATATATATATATATATATATATATATATTTTTTTTTTTTTATTTTTTTTTTTTTAATTATTGATTTTTTAGAGAGAGGGATAGTTAGAAACATTGATGAAAGAGAATCATTGATCAGCTGCCTCTTGCACACCCCCTACTGGGGATGTGCCCGCAACCAAGATACATGCCCTTGACCGGAATCGAACCCAGGACCTTTCAGTCTGCATGCCCATACTCTGTCCTTCGAGCCAAACCAGTTTCGGCCTGATGTCTTTCTTATAATGAAAGTGGGTTATGGGTTTGAGGAAGAAGGTCACAGAGATCAGGTTACTTTTTCGTCCCATTATATCACGTGCACATGCTACCACTGTGATGTGGGAGTGTTAATCTGGCTGAGGCAGTGTTTCTCTCCACAAAACTCCTCACACACACCCCTCCTTCCTCACTGTGCCCTCTGGGCAGCTCTGGGTACAGCCCACACGTAAGTGGCAAGGGAGCATGATCTCCACGGCCTGAGTTTTCTGTAACAAAAGTTATTCTGCTCATGTACCTTCCAGAAAGTTGTGCTAGGAAAAAGCGTTTCTTTCCCCTGGCATGCTTGTGCATCCTTCTTTATTGGAGAACTACACGACCCCTTGTGGCTGTTCTTTCACTTGGCCAGTCAGTAAACGGGGAGCACCTGGGTAGGTTGATGGCAGAAAGTCCAGGTTCCTGATAAGGTTTTCTCTTTCCTCCATCACTTTTTTTTTTTTCTGTTTCTTGCTTGTAACTGCTTCCCTCTAAAAGTGCTAATTGTGAGGAGAAACCAAGATGGCGGCATAGGGTAGACACCTGAATGCATCCTACTGCAACAAATTTGAATTTAGAACTGAAAAACAGGGGAAACATCACCCTGAAGTGCCAGACGGCTGGCTGAGAGGAGGCTCTACCATCTGGGAAGGAGAAAGAAGGTGCGCTGAACCTCAGGAACTGTGAAGGTGTGGAGAATTGTGTGCGCGAAAAGGCGGCTGCAGAGTTTGCTGCCAGCTTGCTTGCGGAGTATGGAGGGGGCAGGCTGAGTTCACTATCGGCTTACTTCCTGCGCGAGGAGAGGGCGGACAGCTAATGCGCAGCTGGCTTTCTTGTTCGGGAAGAAAACAGAACCATCCTATTGCGCTGATAGATGACCCCAGACAGGGAGAGGCCAGACTGTGAGGCAGTGGGCAGAGATCTCTCAGAGGTGTGTAAAGCCAGCGGCCATTACTGCGGGACTCAGAAACCAGACCCTCGTAGGGAGGGGCTGAATAAAGCTTGTCTGCACCACCCGAGACTCTGCCCCATCCAAGTGGAGCACAGAAGCCCTTCCAGTGGCTAGCTTCCTCATTTGCCAAAAGGACTCTCCTAGGGAGGGGCAGACAGGAATCTAAAGCTTGTCTGCAACCAATTGTGCGGGATTCAACAAAGCTTGTCTGTGCCACTCCAAGCGGAATACAGAAACTCTCCTAGCTGAGACACTTCTGATCCTCATAGCCAATTGGCTTGGAGATCAACGCTTCCCAGTGATGCCAATAACAAGCAAGGCTTAACAACAAGACTGCACACACAGCCCACAAAGGGCTATACCAAGATTGTCCACCTCAGGTAACTGGGAGGCTGACTCACTGAACCATATAGGACACCTTAGCACACAAAGCCACCCTACCAACTCAGGGAAGCTGTGAAAATGCCGAGACAAGGAAATAGTTCATAAACAAAAGAAATGGAGGAAAAGAAGAGACTGGATATAGAGTTCAAAACCACGCTTATAAGGTTTTTCAAGAATTTCCTAGAAAAGGTCGATAAGACCTATGAGGATATGAAAAGGGATCAACAAGAAATAATAAGGGATCAACAAGAAATAAAGAATACATTGTCTGAAATAAAAAATATTATACAGAGTCCTAAAAACAGAATGGAAGATCGCAAGAATCAAGTCAAAGATTTGGAACATAAAGAGCCAGAAAACACTCTTCCGCAGAAGCAAGAAGACAAGAGAATCCAGAAAGTTGAAGATAATGTAAGAAACCTCTGGGACAACTTCAAGCGAACCAACATCAGAATTATGGGGGTCCCAGAAGATGAGAGAGAGCAAGAGAGCAAGAAAGAAATAGTGACAGAAAACTTCCCCCACCTGGTGAAAGGATTAGACTTACAAGTCCAGGAAGCACACAGAACTCCAAACAAAAGAAATCCAAAGAAGACCACACCAAGACACATCATAATTAAAATTCCAAGAGCAAAAGACAAAGAGAGAATATTAAAAGCAGCAAGAGCAAAGCAGAAAGTTACCTATAAAGGAGCACCCATACGATTGTCAGCTGATTTCTCAACAAAAACCATGCAGGCCAGACAAGAATGGCAAGAAATATTCAAGGTGATGAATAGCAAGAACCTACAGCCAAAGATAATCTACCCAGCAAAGCTATCACTCAGAATCGAAGGCCAGATAAAGAGCTTCACTAATAAAAAAAAAAAAGCTAAAGGAGTTCATCACCGCCAAACCAGAATTATATGAATTGCTGAAGGGGGTTCTTTCGGAAGAGAAAGTAAATAAAGTTAAAAACTATGAACAACAAATACGTAACTATCAACAAGTGAATCTAAAAACCAGAGAATTAAAAAAAGTCAACAAGAGAATTAAAAAAAGTCTGATGAACAATATTAACTGGTGAATATAATAGAATCAGAGGTATGGAAGGGGAGTGAACTAACGATTCTCAGGAGGGGGGGGGAGTGGGGTGATGCGGGAAGAGACTGAACATAAACTGTGCACCTATGGTTGAGGACAATGGCGGGTGGGGAAAGGGCAGAGGGTGGGGTGGGAACCTGGTGGAGGGGAGCAATGGAGAGGGGAAAAATAAGGAACATTTGTAATAATATGAACAATAAAGATTTACCAGTATTTAAAAAAAAAAAATAAAGTGATGGTCAGAGACTGACCTATTGTTAAAAAAATAATAAATAAAATAAAATACAATAAAATACAATAAAATACAATAAAATACAATAAAATACAATAAAATAAAATAAAATAAAATAAAATAAAATAAAATAAAATAAAATAAAATAAAAGTGGTAATTGTACTGTAACTGCCTCACACTCCTTTAGGACTTAGGCAGAGAAGACCTTACAAGTCCACCATCACATTCCTATACTGCAGTGTTTCCCAAACTTCTCTCAGGATGAGAATCACCTGTATTTTAACAACTCCACCAGGTGATTCTCATCCTGAGAGAAGTTTGGGAAACTCTGCTATACTGGATTCCAGCTTTCGCCTGCTCAGCCACTCAGTGCTCACTCTCGGTGTTTCTCCAGGCAAGTGACAGACCAGGTGCTTCCTCAGGGCATTTCTCCCATCCAAGTCAGAAGGGCGGCCCCAGGAAACAGCAGCCTGGGTGAGTGGGGCTGGCACTTGCGGGGGACCGGGCAGGTGGGGGGTGGGAATAGACTTAGGGTTTTTGTTTTTTGTTTGTTTTCTTGACTGGGAGTTGAGCCCCAGCTCTCCTGCCAGGGCAGTATGCGTAATGGCTAGTAATCTGTGACGCAAAGTCAGACTTCTTGGGTAAAATGCTATCTCTGCCAGTCACTGTTCTTGACCACGGGTACATTGCTAACAATCCGGGGCCTTCGTGGCCCCACTTGTGACTGGAGATCAAGCATCGTACTTCATGGGCCTTTGCAAAAAAAGTAAATGAGGTAATCTATGTAAAGCACATAGGAGACAGCCCGGAATTTTATGATATGGAAATGTCAGCTGTGTTCTGGTTTTCCCTTTTCCGTAGCCCTGTCCGCTCGGCCCCCGTGCAGTCCTGGGCTCCCCGCCACAAAGCCCTCTGGCTTCTACCACGGGCACGTGTGGCACTCGCTGTCCTGCTCCAGCCGCTCCTTCCCCACTGCTGACAGCGTCCTGGGCTGCCTGGCTGGTCGCGTCGTCCACATGATAGGGGACTCCACGCTGCGGCAGTGGTGGGAGTTCCTGCGTGACACCGTGCCCTGTGAGTGGCCCCGTGGGGAGAGGGTAGGACTCCTGGTAAAGCTGTGGTTCTCCCAGCACCTAAAGCTCAAGTGACTTCTGTGGCATGCATGCTGTTTCCTCGGCCTCTCCAAAGTTAAATTAATACAATCCCAACTCTCCCGCTTGCACCATTTCTCTGAATAGTCAAGATGAAGAATGGAGAACAGCAACTTGTCACAGGGTTTCTGAATAACCTCCCATTTAGAAGAAGGGGGGGGGGGGTGGGAAGCAAACACAGCATCTATATCAGTTATTTAAAAAAAAAAAAAATTATATCCAAGCAGCCAGTACCTCATACGGAGTTACTACAAGTCTCGAAGATAGCTGAGGAGTGGGAAGGTAGAAGCGGAAAGCTAGACTGAATGACAGCTGGGCTGGGCCCAGTATTCAGTGGCCATAGTCTCTGTGAACTCAATTGTAAAGTTAGCAACAGACTAGTTGAGGCTCCTGCTCACCATGTTTTTGAGGGAAGTCCCACCTAAGCATATTATCTCTGATCTCAGGTAGTTCAGATACATTCCTGTCTTCCTAGAAGTTTAGAAATTTTTAGAAAGTTTAGAAATATGCCATATTGTCATCCTCAGTCACTGGCACTAACTTGAGGTTCTTTATTTAATTTATTTTTTTTAAATATATTTTATTGATTTTTTTTTTTTTTTTTTTTTTTTTTTTTTTTTTTTTACAGAGAGGAAGGGAGAGGGATAGAGAGTTAGAAACATCAATGAGAGAGAAACATCAATCAGCCACCTCCTGCACACCCTCCACTGGGGACGTACCCGCAACCAAGATACATGCCCCCGACCAGAATCGAACCCGGGACCCCTCAGTCCGCAGGCCGATGCTCTATCCATTGAGCCAAACCGGTTAGGGCTTGAGGTTCTTTATTTTAAACATTGAGCTGTAATCGATAAATCATAAGTAGAATATATTTGAAGTGTACAATTTATAAGAAAAAGGTAAAGATAAAAATTATCTTTTACCAATAGTATTAGTGTTCCTAATGGCCCATTTAGCATTTTGTACAATGGCTGCTTTTAAAATCCTTACCAGATCATTCCAACATCTGAGCAATCTTGGGGTTGTTGCATGATTGTCTTTTCTCATTCATCTTGTGGTTGCCATGGTTCTTGGGATGATATGTGCTTTTCTGTTGTTTCCTGGACAGTTTGGGTATTCTGGTGTAGTTTACCTCCCTTCTTTTTAACAAGCGTTCACACTACTTGGGTGTAGCGGCAGGCCCAGGGGGGGTGTATGTCCAGCTCTCTTTGGGGCTCTGTTGCTACCACCCCAGTGAAAATGGAGAAGCAACTCCATGGCCTTGCTGCCACTGGGTGAGGGCGTCATTCAGCTCCACACCGGGACAGGCGGGACAGTGCCCATGAGCACTCTGCACTCCGCCTTTTCTGCCAGGTGCTGATGGGAACTCAGATCCCTCTTGGGGTCAATTTTATTTCAATCAATGTATACATTACTTTGAATTCTTTATATCAAAGACCCAATTAGATATTTTATAAATGGAAATATTCTTTTAAAACCCTCCATAGACGAAATAAACAGTGGAACAGATACCACATTAGAACAAATTAGTAAGCTAAAAAATTATTCCAGACTTCACGTCCTCTCCCTCATCACTATAGTATTCTTTAGCATGTTCGTTCACCTGTTATTGTTAACCATTCTTTATAGTCACTTTCCCTGTTCAAACGAATGTATGATTTTTTTTTTTTCTCCTGGTTGGACCCTAACTAATACACCAGGAATTCCTAATGAATCCATTTTTATATTCCTCTTGTTTTGCCATAATAATAATTTTTTTTAAGCCCTAGAATTTCAGTGGCTTGGCACAATGCAAGTTTATCCTGAACTCACCTAAAGTCCATTGTTCGAGGGCAGGCTTCCACACCACTATCCGCAAAGCTGGGGCTCCGGAACCCAGGTTCTTTTCACCCTGTGTCTCCGCTGTCCCCAGGGCCTCCCAGAAGGCACTGCTGGATCCTCTGCTCCCCAGCCAGTGAGGAGAGAGAGAAAGAGAGGAAGAGGGGAAGGGAGAGGGGAAGGGAGAATGGAGGATTGTATAGGGTGCTTTGTGTCCAGGCAGGGAAGTGGGATCTGCTGCTCTAGCCTCCCCTTCCACCTTTCCAATATATTTATTTTAGCCACATCAGTGAGCTGTGTTGATGTTTTTATAATTATGTAAGTATTTTTCTCTTCATAGTCAAACTAATATTATGATTTCGTTTCTTGTGTGGTGCTTTGTTTTTCTGTCTCTTTCTCTCCTTTCTTGCCTTCCTTGTTTTTCATCAATACATATTTATTGAACACCTATGATACCCAGGCACTGTTCTAGGTTCTAGCAACGTAACAGTAAACAAGAACAAAAATATCGGTTCAGTGGATAGAGTATCAGCCTGTGGACTGAAAGGTCCCAGGTTCGATTCTGGTCAAGGGCATGTACCTTGGTTGTGGGCACATCTCCCAGTAGGGGGCGTGCAAGAGGCAGCTGATCAATGATTCTCTCTCATTGATGTCTCTAACTTTCTATCCCTCTCTTTCTCTCTGTAAAAAATTAATAAAATATATATTTTTTAAAAAGAACAAAAGTATCAAGATTCCTGTTTCGTTGTGCATACACTGGTGGAAAAACTCAGATACTGTGACACAGTAAATATACATACATTTCCAGGTATTAAAAGGCTCTGTGAGAAAAAGTAATGTGAAGGTTAAGGATGGTGAAGAGGAGGAAGTTAAGATGGTGAAGATTAAATAAATGGTCAGGGAAGATGCTTTTGAGGCAGTTTGAACTGAGCCCAGAAAGATAAGAAGGAGCCAGCTATGTGATTATCTTGATGATACAACCCTCTGCCTCTTTTGCAACTATACCTGTGTCCCTGAACACGCCCCTGCTGTGTCCCCTCATGCTGTTCTCATTGGTAAATGCATGACCACAAACGTCTAGGAGGTACTAATGCTGCACAATAATCAAAATGTGGTTCTCAAAATGTGGTCCCAGGCTGGCTGCATTGGCAGCACCTGGGAGCTGGTGAGACATGCAGGCTCTGGCCCCAGCCCAGATCTGAATCAGAAATTCTGGGGAGGAGCTCCGTCTGTTTCAACAAGCCTCCAGGTGATGCTGCTGGGCTCCGATGTCTGAGAGCCTCTGCCCTGGGACCTCTGCACCTCTCTCCTCAGTGACGACTTCAGCGTCTTCATCTCACACTCAGCTGCTGACCTTGTATATTTTCTTGAACAAAACAAAGCAATCAGAAGTGACAGTCCAGACTCCCACCACATTGCCTCTCCTACCAGCATCTGTACTAGTGTCCTCTGTTTTCCTACATGTTTTTGAAAATGAATTCCCCATGCTCCTATCCTTCTACTTCGGTTCTAGATCTATTCAAGGACATCTCTCTATCCATTTCCCTCCTTCCTCCTACATCATCTTCTCCACCAGCATTATTTCCATCACATTCCCATCAGCACATACTTGCTACTTTTTACTTTAATATTCTTTTATAGAGACAGAGAGTTAGAAATATCGATCAGCTGCCTCATGCACACCTCCTACTGGGGATGTGCCTGCAACCAAGATACATGCCCTTGACTGGAATCGAACCTGGAACTCTTCAGTCTTCAAGCCAACGCTCTATCCACTGAGCCAAACAGGTTAGGGCTACTTTAATGTTCTTAAGTGTTTGAGTCAATTACAGACATCGTGACATTCTACCATCAAATATTTCCTTATCTTTTAAAAACAGAATATTTTTAAACATTACCCAAATAAGATTATCACAATTAAAAAATGAATAACACTTTCTGAAATCTAATATCCAGTTCATAATCAAATTTCTTCCATTGTCCTTCAGATTCTATACAATTGTTTTTTCAAAGCCAAGATCCATTCCAAGATGTGGTTGTTTTGTCCCTTAATTTCTTTACATCTAGGCCAGTTCTTCTTTTCTTCACCTTCCTTTATGGAAAAGTCAGGCCAGCTCTCCTGTCAAATGTTCCACCTTCTGAATATTTCTGATTGCTTCATTATGGTGACATTTAGTTTGTCCTCTATTTCTTGTATTTTCTATAAACTAGAATTGAAAGATCAAGGCTGGATAGATTGAACGTAAGCAGGTACATAAATGATGCAAATTCTGTTTGCAGCATATCAGGGATGCACAGTACCTGATTGTTTATCATTAGTGATGATAAGAATGACTACTGGATAAGGGGATTCAAGCTGATCCCTCCACAGTGCAGTGGATTTTCCCCTTGGGACCAGAAAGGAATCTAGTGGTGGTATTTTGGCATTGTGTGAATTCCAGAAGATCCTATTAATCATTCTCACTATGGTTTTACCACAACAAACAATTATTGCCTTTATCAATCATTGTTTGTGTTACCAAAGGGTGGTTTTCTAATTCTTATTGTTCTTTTTATTCATATTGGCTGGTCTTTTATTTTTTAAAATGCTTTCTCTCATTAACTGGAGCTAATAGGTTAGTTTGAAAGATAGCTTCTCCCGAAAAGGCAAGAAAAACGTTAAACTATCTTTAATTACCAACTTACAAGGAAGAAAGCTGATTTAAAACGGTGACAAGTGACTATTTTTCAAGTATCGTTATAGATACATGGATTTTTATAGACTTGGTTTATAATCAGCTAATATTTTACTATAAAACCAGTCTTTTCTCTAAATACTTTCTCTCATCATTTTCTCTAATATTCCAATTTTCACAATCTCTACCAAGGTGGCTCCTATGTCCTTTTTAATATACCTCCAACATTGGAGAGTTTCCTTGATTTCTGGCATGAGGTATTCCAAGTTCTCTATGTATTATTCTGCTTAGACTTGGAATTTGTTGATTCTTTAAGGATTCATGATAAATGAAAAATTAATATCTGGGCACTGTAAGTATTCATTATTATTGGGGTAACATTGTTTCTAGGCCATTTAATATTCAGAAGAAGATATAGATATATGGTTGA